GGGGGGAATAGGACCTATTTGTAGCAGCTCTTTTGTAATGGCAAAGAATTGGAAATTGAGAGGATGCCCATCATTTAGGGAATGGCTGAGGTTGTGGTATATAATGGAATATTTATTGTGCCATAAGAAATGACAGGCAGGATGATTTCAGAAAAATCTGGAAAGACATCAATTAATGGCAAAGTGAAGTGAGCAGAACTATGAGAACACTGTACACAGTAATGGCAATATGGTACACCACGAACAACTGTGAATGACTTAACCAAAACAGTTCCAAAGGTCTCATGATGACAGATGCTATCTCCCTCCAGAGAAAGAACTGATAGAGTTTGAATGCATATCAAAGCATATTATTTTTCACTTTTATTTTTGTATGGTATTGTGGTGTTTTTTGGTCTGTTTTCTTATACAACATAACTTAATATGGAAACATTTTGCATGATTGCACGTGTAAGCAAATTGCTTACTATCTCAGGTTGGGGGAAGGGAAGGGACAGAGGGAGAGAATTTGGAACTCAAATTTTTTAAAATTTTAAAAATTGATTTTACATGTAATTGAAAAAAAATTTACATTAAAAAAAAAAAGATGATATTTTAACTGGGGCTTGAAGTCAGTAAAGCCAGGAGGCTGGAGATGAGGAAGGAGAATATTTTGGGCGTGGGGGAGAGTCAGTGAAAATGCCTGCAATTTGGGAGATAGAGTGTCATGTTTGAGGAACAGAAAGGAGACCAGTGGCATTAGATCAGAGTATGTGGGGGTGGTTTAAGGAGAAGGAAAGCTGGAAAATGGGGAGGGAGTAAGTTATGAAGGACTTTGAACTTAAAAATGAAGTTTTCATAATTGATCCAGGAACTGAGAGAGCCACTTGGAGTTTATTGAGCAGGGGGTGCCATGGTCAGACCTCAACTTTAGTAAGATCACTTTGACAGCTGAGTGGAAAATGGTCAGGAATGGGGTGAGCCCTATGGCAGGCTGACCCATCAGCAGGCTATTGAGGTGGTGAGGGCCTGCACAAGAGTAGTGGCAGTATCAGAGGAGAGGGGAGTATATTAGAGATGTTACAAAGATAGATTTGATGGCACATGGTAGCTGATTAGATATGGGATAACTGAGTGAGGAGTTGAGGATGCCACCTAGGTTGCAAGCTTGTAAGAATGGTGCCCTCAACAGAGCAACACTCCTTTTAGGGAAAAGATGAGTTCATTTCTGGACATGTTGAGTTAGAGATTTCTGTATCTACCAATTCTGCATTCCAATAGGCAGTAGGAGGTAGGACAACAGAACAGTTAGTTCCGAGTAAGTAGATTTGGAAATCAGCCACAGTGAGGTAATAATTTAATCCATAGGAACTGATGATATCACCAAATGAAATAGTGGAGAGGGAGAAGAGAAAGGGCCCGAGAAAGAGCCCTGTGATACCTATGTGACCTGGGTGAAGATCTAGCAAAAGAGACTGAGAAGGAATATTCAGATAGGTAGAAGAAACAAGACAGAATGGTATCCAACAATAGTGTCAAAGACTGAAGAGAGGTCGGGAAGGATGAGGATCGAGAAAAGGTCATCAGATTTGGCAATTAAGAGGCTGTTAGTAATTTTGGAGAGCATAGTTTTAACTGAATGGTGAGCTTGGAAGCCAAGATGTGGTGGGTTAAGAGAGTGAGAGAAGGTAAAGTAGAAGCCTGTGTTATAGGTGGCCTTCTTAAGGAGTTAAGGGTCACAAGAGGCAGAAGAAATTTGAGAAGACACTTAGTGGGAATGAATGGATCAGCTGAAGGGTTTTTGATGATGAGAGAGATATGGGCATGTTAGGCAGTAAGAAAGCAGCCAGTAGACAAGGAGAGATTAAAAAGAAGCAAGAGTGAGGATGGTAGAGGAAGCCATCTCTTGGAGAAGACAAGATGCAATGGGGTCAATTGTGTATGTAGAGTTTATAAATTACATAATTGATTTAAAAAAAAGGAATGACATTATTACGTGTTATCTAAAAAGTGTTACTTGTGAAATTTTAAGGTTCCCTTCTTCTGCATAAATTGTTTTTGCTATTGTCATTTCAGTTGTGTTAGACTCTTTGCGACCCCATTTGAGGTTTTCTTTGGAAAGATATTGGAGTCGTTTGCCATTTCCTTCTCTGGGTCTTTTTACAGATGAGGAAACTGAAGCCAACAGGGTGAAGGGGGTCACACAGCTAAGTAAGTGTCTGAGACCAGATTTGAACTTCCTGACTCTAGGGCCTGTGTTCTGTGCATTCTGGTGCCACCTAGCTGCCTTCTGCATAAATTACATAAAATAAAAACCATACATGCCAAGAGGACACTGAGATTCCTTAGGGCTGAGCATCACATAGCCTCCCACAGAGACTTATTATTCTACTGTGTATTCTGAAGAATCATATACAGAATTTCATTTTATACTCAACTTGACTGGAGTCTTTTTGTCTTATGTATCAAGGGATACTTGTGAATCCTCTTAACTGATGATATAGAAGCAAGTCAGAGAGAACTTGCATTTACACCGTTCCATTTTACTATAGGACTTGAAGTTCTCTGGTGGTTAGTGAATGTCTAACAACAATTAAAACAAATTTCTATTGAATTTTTTTATTCAGCACTATAAAGTTAGTATATGTTCTGCTCCCCCTGAATCAAAAATTTTAATCCCATGATGTAATAAAAGCACACTGAAGAATATAATAAACCTTTCAGAATAACATATTTCTACATAAGAGATGGCTACAATATAAACGGTTTAAAAGTAAATGGCATAGCAGAAAGAACAGTAGAATGACAATTGACCACCAGACATCCTGCCACTAACTCACTATGTAGCCTAAGATATCTTTAGTTTCCTCCTCTTTAAAACAAAGAAATTGTACTCAGTTATGTCTAAGGCTCCTTCTAGCCCTAACATTATAGATTTTAAGGTCACTTTCAGTTCTGACATTCTAGCATTCCATGGTAGTCAGTACTCAAAACACCTTAGAAATCTACAAACAAATAAGGGTTTGACTTACTGTTTTCTTGCTTGTCTAGACTTAAGAAGGTGGTGGAGAAAATGTTAATAATGAAAATTAAATTTAAAAGCATATCCTGCATCTTTGGATTGCCTATTGTTAAACATTTACCAGCACATTCCCATAAGGATTCCCTTAACACTGAAGGATTACTTAATTACACAGTATAGATAAGGTCACAGTTCTGAAAAAGCAGCTGCTCCTAGATAGATTCTGAAATCTGTTCCCTTGCGTTGCCGTTATTCCTAGTGAGGATTAAAATCTCAGCTCTGCTCCCCATTCTTCTGTTCCCTTAGATATGGGATTGCGCTTCACATTCACCTTCTTCCCTCTCACTGTCCCATCATGCTTCCCACTGGAACTTTGTTAAAAGCTCTTCAGTTGTTGTGCCGGCAGCTGCAAGAAGCCTGCCTAGATACCTTAGGCTCTGGCACCGTCCTAACTAGGGTATGTGAATCACCCCAGGGCAGGAAATTTGCCCTGCCTGAACCTGGACAACAGTAGATGTTGGCTTGAAGTTGCACAAGTTGTATTGGTAGAGGGGAGTTCCTACATGGACAAATCGTAAGTCTGGGACAGAATGAGGAAAATGGGCATTAGCTCAGCCTGGTAGAGGGTGGGGGCAGGGGTGAGGGATAGAAGTAAGCTAGACTCTGGTCGCCTAGGGCTTAAGCCAAGGGAGGCGTTACTGCAAGCTCAGCCTACCTCTGTTGTCTTTCCTGCAAATGTCCTTGTCGGAGTTGGATGTTGAACAAACTTAGGCAACTGCCTTTATGTTGATTTATCTCCACACTTGTTGCTTTTCTCTGGCAGGAAGAAGAAATTGTACTAAATGATCTCTAAGGCTTCTTCTAGACTTACCTAGAGATGGCAAGAAGTCGGAAGCAGGGAATAAATATTTGTATAGAGCCTACTATGTCTCAGGCACTGTGCTTAAGCATTTTACAGATGTTATCTCACAACAACCTTGCAAGATAGGTGCTGTTATCTTCTCTGTTTTACAGTTGAAATAACTGGGGCGAATGAGTTCCTTTAGTTTAAAATTCTACTAGTTGAATTTTTGAGTAAGAAGTACCAGAGTCAAATGCAAATGAGAATTTGTCAAGTAGGAGATGCAGCATAGTATCCTGAATAGAGCTTTAGATTTAGTGACAGAACCTAAATTTGAATCTCTGTTTTACTGCTTACTAACTGTGTTGCCCTGGGCAAGTCACTACCACTTTGAGCCTCAGTTTCCTCAACTGTAAAAATCAAGGTGTTGGTCTAGTTGATTTTAAGGGATTCCAGCTCTAAATCCTGTCATCCTAGGTCAAAGCGCAATAATGGTGCTACCTACTAGAACTACCAAGAGGTGTATATTGGGAGCCCAGAGGGGACAGAGAATATAATCAAAGGTTGTCAGTAGATGTGTCCATCCACGACCAAGCAACCTGATATGCTGCTGAAGTGCCTTGCTAGATTGCAAAGACGGTGAAGTTTGACTCCTGTAGCATACAAATGAATTGAAAGCTGATCAACTTTGACTTAAGTCATGACCTTCAGAAGACCTAGATTGGAATCTCATGTTTGCTGTGCAATTTCCACAGGACCTTGAGCAAGGCCTTTTGCTGGTCCCTTTTTGGGCCATAGTTTCCCTATCTGTAAAATGTGGGGGATGGACTAGATTACTTTGTGTTGTGATCTAATACTACAAGGTTCCACATAGTATTTCTAGTCATATCTTTTCCATTTAAGACGTAAAGCATCCTAGGTACTCTATTTGGAACTAGTTTCCACTTTTTTCTTATGGCACCCAATTCAGGAATTTGAACTTTGACTCTTTATTGCATGACTTTATAGGTATGTGGGTTTTTTCCAGAAACCTGTGCCCAGACCAACTGCAAAATAATTCCAAAGATGTAAGCAGCTGAAGGCAGAACTGAGCCGTAAATGGCATATATTCAATAAAGGACCACAAAAATGAGGTAACCTTCTTTTCTTCTTTTCCAGTGAATGAGATCATAGGAAGAGATATGTCCCAGATATCAGTTTCATGCGGAGCAGCAGTGACAATTCAGCCTCGTCCTGAGGTCGCGGACTCGCTGGATTCAGGAATATCAGATGGAGTCTAGGAATGGTGACCCTTGCAACTAGATGTTTGTTAACACCAGTGCATTTCGCTGAATAACTCTTGTCTACCACCTCTTCTTTGACCTATTGTGCTTCCAATTCTGTGGCCTTCATGAACTGGAACTGTGTATTCTTTGCATTGCCCCTTTTGTGGGTGCCATTTTTTGACACAGGGGCAGCATTTCTAAATCTTAGTCCTTGGACAGTGTATAAATGAACTTTGTAAAAATGAAAACAAGTAACATAGGATATTTGGGCTATTTAAAAGTGAACTTTGCTTTTTCTGCATTTAAAGAGAATTCTTTTGTATTAGGGGTGCTTTAAAAGTATGGATGGTGTGCTCTGATAATCCCAAGCTGCCCTGAATTTGAAGATCGAATCCGCCTTATATATGCAGCTTTTTTTTAGGCAATCTTCATAGAATAGTTAGGAATTGTTCCTACTGCTTCTTGTCAGTAGAAAGACCTTCCAGCTTTGATTTAAGAAGAGAACTTTGAAAATAAAACCTTCCAGGGGCAAAGAGACCCACCAGCTAAAGCCTCTGCATAAAAATGACGTCGTGGGGGATGTTGTAGATTGATAGGAAGGAAAACGAAATGTAGCTCTGCACTTCTTTATAAATGTAAAGTGTTGTTTGATAAATTGAGAAGAGACCATTCCATCACTGCAGGTGTTGGGATAGAAATGACATTCCAAAATGCAAACTTTTTGTAACTTTACAGGTAATCTTCCATATTCTTCTTACACAGGCTCCATACTGAAATTGTTTTCCTTATTCAGAGCTTCTCTTGGAGAGCTTACATTGACAATCCTATATGAAAGTTGAGATTTTAACTGAAATTCTCTCATTTTCAGACACTTTTTCTTAAGAGAAAATAGGGAAGTATTTGCAGATGCTTTCTTGGTCTGTTCTTGCTAAAATTCTTCTTTGCAATTCACTCCTCTCCAGAGACTCCTAGTTTTCTGTAAGTTAGGCTGCACAGAAATTCTGATTCTGATTTTAGGGGTTTCTTGGTGTTGACTTCAGGTTCCTCTCCTAAGGACTTATCTAGAGGCAGTTGGGATCACCCCACCTTTAAATTCAAGTGTAAAAGTTGTATTGGTAAGAGCATGGAAAGCATGAGAATAATAGGGTAAGAACTATTTCAGATAAATTAGGACAAAACAATTAAACTGTTGCCTCCTAGAAGAATCTAAGGGGAGATGAATCTCTGTCAGGGGCTGCCACACAGGCTTGAAATGGGTTTTTTTTACTTCTGTATTCTGAACTAATTCTAACATTATTTCCATCTATGTTAATCACTTAAGTTTTGGTTTTTTTTTTAATAAATCTAAGGGGTTTTTTCTTTGGGGTGGGAATAGTAGCTGGTTTTTGTAAACTTCACCCTTGATAGGACAAAATAAACAATTTTTTAAAAACTTTCTCAGTTTTTTCCAGGTGGCAGGCACATTGTAAAGTTAGCTTTATCTAAGTAGGAGAACACTGTTTGGGACTCAGTTGTGTTCCCAGGGTATTTAGTTGCCATGGAATGTATTGTAAGTCATCTTCCACTCTTAAGTAAGTGCAGCTTTATGCAGGGAAATTGTTTCTGCTGTGGCTGACTTTATTTGGGGTGATTGTCACTAACTAGTAACCAAGCATTCTCAATAAGGAGGCAAAGTAATCCATGAAGGGTGACTAGATCTAACCTGGTGCTGAGTGCACTTTGAGAGAAGGAGACACAACATTCCTGGGGTTTAATGTTACAGTTCCTCAGACACTCCCCTCAGCTCTCTTCAGGATAAAGAAGTTTGTTGTTTTTAAACATCCTTTGTGAGTGGAATTTTTTAGAATGGGCTTGCCATTCGAGAGGAATCATCACAAATTAACCCATGGTCATTGTAGGGGACTTTTTAAAGTTAGTTTTTGTGATTTCAAGAGTGGTTTGCTTTTTTGGATGGTTCAGTTTTATCTTTGATAAAAGATACTGTTAACCTTTTCCCTGTTGACCAGCCTGGTCCTAGGATTCAAGATGAAAGTCACTGGAGGGACACCCAGCTAGCTGTCTGGACTGTCCCTACCCTGGTCATGGTTTTGCTTCCTGAAGCGACTCCTAAACCTCACCTACTGTGGGCAAGTTTCATAACTGTGAATAATCTGTCAGGAAGGACCTTTAGTGGGGATCTGTTGGAGTAAGGAACTTGTTACTCTTAGTGCACAGGGTTCTTTCTAGAGCTCCCAGGCCCAGAATGTTGCTGGGAACCCTCTTGGTTAACCACTGTAATAATCCTAAGGGTTCCTCACCTATTGAGGCGCTCTGCAGTAGGGCCAGTATGAAAGCCTGTACAATCCCAAGTTGCTATGCACTAAATTTTCTGATGCCTTTAAATACCTTGATGCCTGTAGACCTACATAAAATAAAAATACAGCTTTGGATATTATGTAAACATTTTTGTATCTGCTTTTTAAAAGCTTCAGTGTAAGGGTCTTAATATTTTTGTGGCTTGTATCCTAAAGACTGTTAAAAACCTTGTGCAATGTAATGGTGTAAGAAGCACACAACCCTCCATTGTTGGGCTATACAAATGGAGGTCTTCACAGAACCCCAGGAGGGCCTGGTGACGGCCATGGGGGGGGGGGGAGACAGCTATTGGGACATTAGCCACCCTGGAGGGGGGAGGAAGAGGGAAGGCACAAAATAGGAAGCCCATGGATGATCTGTGCATTTGACAGGTGGGCTGTGAGGAATTTTCTGAAAAACAAATACCCAAAGCGTCCATTAGCTTTCCCCTGGTAACCTTTTGACCAGGTCAGTGGAACTCCTTGGCAAACCAAAGAAAAAAAAGGGACTGAGGGCGGAGCTGCCCCCATGCTTTGAAACTATTTTTGATATTCAGAATGGACGTCATTCCTTGAGGCTTAGAGATGGGTCCGCAAACTGTTTTATATTTAAAGAAAAGATTCATAAAACTGTGCTAGATTATGTTTACAGAGCTATGTATTGTAATTTCATGTACATTTTGTATTTCAAACATTTTGTAAGTTTTATGATTGCAGTGCTACTCGCATAAAACAAAGGGAAGAACTAGTATTTGAGGCTTTTCAATCATAGTGCTGAAATAAATGATGAAAGATCAAATGTGTCTTCATTTAATCAGTAGTGCAAAGCCACAGGCAAAGTTATCTCTGGCTTTCCCCGAAGCCTCTCCCAACCAGGAAAATAGCAGAGTTAGACTCAATCAACAGTGTGTCAGGCACGGGATATACAGAAACAAAATAAAAAATCAAAACCTAATGAAATTGGTCACACATTTATTTACTGGCAGAGCTGAGAATCAAACACCATTCTCTCTCTCTTCAGGATTTTTAGGTCTAGTCTAACTACCTACGTCCATTGTGCATGTCACGGGTGGCACAAACACCTCAGCATCCCTTCTCTATCCCCCTGCCCAAAACCTACCCCTCTTCAAAGTCTGTGTCCATGAAATTATGGAAGACTATTCTAGCTTCTCTGAATTCTTAATGTTGTCTCTTATAACATAAAGAAATGTGACAAATATGAAGAATTCAGATAAGCAAAACCAAACTTAGAAAAGCACAATAAAGGAAAACATTGAAAGACATCAGAATTCTAATGTATACAGTGACCAATTCCAACCTTAGGAGAGAATAAAACATCCCTTATTTTAGTAGAGGTAAGTGATGGGATACAGCATGACACATACTTTGTCAGACATGGCTAATATATGTTTCCTGTGCTAAATTCTACTTTGGTATGGGGAAAGAGTACCATGGGAGATAAGGGTCACTGGGAAAATCACACTCATGTGGGGAAAAAATACAATGAGAAAACGTTAAAAAAAATTTTCTCTGGGTCATAGAAATCTATAGTAGTTGCACAAATGAAATCATTTAGGCAAGCTAAATCCTCACACACTAAAGCCATGCTAAACTCTGTCGAATCTCTGCACCGCCTTCTGCCTAGCTTAGGGGCAGGGTTCAGGGGCCACACTGAAATGCGTACAATGAAATTTCTTTTAGCCCAGACCTGATTTCATTGGCATAGGAAACTCCAGATAGAAGTAAACATTCTCTTCCAATGGAGATAACTGGAGTCTTAAGAACAGAACCCAACACACCTGTGTTTGGGCCAGTATGTGCCTGATGGACCTTAAAGGCAGATCTTAGCCCTAAGGTAGGCTAGTCGCCATACATGGTGCCTCACAGAAAAAAAAATAGAACTTTAAATGAATATTTAGGTCATCTTGCTTAACCCTGATTTCTCGAGGAAACTGAGGCCTACCGTTCAAAGTCATACAAAGCTGGGCTCTGAACAGACACTGACTGGTTATCATGCCCATCACCTAAGCAACATCTTCTTCCCAACCCCAGAAGGGGGCAATCTTTCCCTTTTCCAAACATCAGTCCCTCTTCCCAGAAACTTATCAACACCCTCCCTTATCTCTTCTGAGAGAGGTCTAAATCAAATGGCCTTCCAGACCGAGTCTGCTCAGTCATCAGCTTGCCCAACCTGCACCCCAATGGCGCCAACTTTGGAAGGACAGCGCTTAGGTTGTTTCCAGGCTTTCGGCTCATGATCCTGGAGTGCCCTCTGCTGGGCAAAACAGGAATCACCGGCTCCTAAGCCCTGCAGGGACATTAATGGATGTAGTTCACATTTTTCCAGGTAAAGGGCAGGGGGAGAAAGAAGCAGAAACCAGCCTGGGAAGCAGCCAGGAGAAGCTTCTTCCGTACCAGGATGAAGCACTGGACATTAAACAGAGTAGATTCAATGACCTGGGAGGCAAGTCTCTCCTTACGGCCTCAGTTTCTTGGTTCTAAAATGAGCTGATGATATCTAAGGCCCCCAGTCGTGTGTGCTGTTAGGACGTTGATCTCCCCCATCGGTGTCTCCAAACATCCTCCCCAAGAGGACAGGTTAGCAATCAGGACAGAAGCAGTGCTAGTGTTTCCATCTTTTATTCAAAGGCCTCCTCCCTTCAGGCCTAAGGCTGCCTGTCTGGGTCAATGCAGGATGAGAAGGGGATGCTCTTCTCAGCCCTATCTACCCCACACTCACACCCATGGGGGGAGAGGGAGGTCAGGCCTTGGGACTCCCTTTTCTTCAAGGGGCAGAACAAGGGCTACAGCCTGGGGTCTCCTCTGAAACAAGCCGCAACAGATGGACACAGGGACACGGCCCATTTCTACCCTTGGGGCTAGACAGGCCCACAACCCACAAAGCCTGGACCACGCACGGTCTTGACCAGAGCAGTCCCACATATAGGCACAATGTACAATGTACACACATGTGTAAACAGGGACTCCCTTCTGCATTGGCTTAAATTAAAAAAAAAATATAACTTAAAAGGGCTACAGCCTGGCAGTGCGGAGGGTGGGGAGGAGGCCCCACTTTGGGCTGTTCACCCCAACCTCCTCAACTTGAGGCCAAGCTTCAGGGTGAGCACAAAAGGCTAGGAACCCAAGGCCACCCATAACTATTGAGGGGAGAAAGGGATCAGGTCGTCAACCTCTGCAGAACTCAAAGGCTGGGGAGCAGAGAGCAGGAGGCAAGGATCACAGGTTATTCAAGGGAAGGGGCTGTTTGAGGGGAGGGGGGAAGGAAGGCCCCTTCCTCCCCCCTCCCCTTCAAGGCACTTGGGTGTCAGAGACAAAAGGGTCTGAACCCTCTCCCCTGGCATATCGGGTCATACCAGGGAGAGCTGGACATGCTGACCACCCAAGGTCCGGCCGTGTTCCTCAGCCACAGCCCGACGTGCAGCATCCAGGCTGGGAAAGGTGACGAGGGCATCGCCCCGAGGCTGACCGCTGAAGCTGTGGAGGACCAGGACAGAGTCTGCTGGGAGCTGTGGGGGGACAGGGGGAGCAGGGGCTGAGTCCTCCAGAGGAAGTCAGCGGGAAGAGGGTGGGGCTGGAGCTACAAGGCATGAGGAGACTGGGCCAGGCGGGCGTGGAGGCAGAGGAAGCCAAGTCCACCTGGCCGGCCAGCCACCCAGCCACCCTAGTCCAGAGTAGTTCCTAGGCAATCAGAAGAGATGGGACTGCAACCCATGTGAACCTTACATCACTGCAGACACATTACAATCCATCACCATCACATCATGAGCAGGAGGGAACAGGGGAGCAACAGAAAGTCTTAGGGAGCCAGGGACAGAAAAATCTGTTTTAAGCAAGTTAGAAAAAGATCACTGCCCCCACCCCCACTATCCCAGCAGGTCCCACAATCACAGCACACCCACCAAGGCCCTTGGGTTAGCTGATTGGCAAGAAGAACCGGTCGATTAGTGGAGCGGTCAGAGCCCAGCGGCCAGGCAGGAGGCAAGGGGCCCCCACGGCCTCTTACCTTTTCGGGTCCCTCACAGCTACAAGCACACCCACTCTTTGGGGGCTTGTAGAACAGGGCGGGGGGGGTCACCAACTGGGACCAGATTGGCGTAGTCATCGGGGGCAAGCTACAGAAGGTGACAGAGGGGTCAGGGAGGATGCCAAGATGAAGGATTCTGGGGGTTCATCTCAGAGTGAGGCTCAAGGGGAACCTTGTTCCTGAGGGTGCCTAGCCTCTATTTACCCTGGGCCCCTTAGCTGAGGTGTGCCAAGCCCAGGGCAGAGAGGAGAGAACACGGGCACTGGAGTTAAGAGTCTCAGTTCAGGGCTGGGCCAGGCACGCTCACGCTCGGCTTCCTCGTCTGCACACTAGGGCTAATATCTGCATTGTTTCCCTCTAAAGGGGTGTTGTGACAAAGGGATTTTGTACACCGTAAGACCAAGAGAAGCAAATTATCTTCCCAGGCTGACCTCCAACCCCATTGTCAGACCAGAATCCCTCAGGCCCTGGGGAGCCATCATCCCTCTCTCTAGAGACCGGGGCGGCGAGGAACAGGTTCGCTATGCCGGGGCCACTGTCCAGGGACCAAGGGCACATCTCACCTGGTAGCCCTGGAAGAAACTGAGAATGTCCTTCACGCCAGCTGTATACGGCAGTCCTTGCATCCTCACCAGGGCTCCTGGCTGCTGCAGTACGGAGGCAGGGGCTGGGGCCACAGCTGCCGAGGGAGCGGTGAGGTAGCCCACAGCAGTCGGGGAGACGGGGGGGCTGAGGAGGAGGAAAACGAGACGTCTCTAAAGAGAAGGGGGAGGCGGGCAGCAGGCTGGGGCAACGGTCAGAGCCCAGACCAGAGGCCAGCTTCCTTCCTCACATCCCCCTGCTCTGCCCCAGGGCAGCCCACAAGCTCCAGTCACTCCCGGCTTGGAGCACGGGGCAAGGAAGGAAGGACCCACTAAGTGAGACCAGACTGGTGTACTTGTCAAGGGCAAGGTACACAGAGGCACTGGCATTGTGGGGGAGGGAACAAGAGAAGAGGGAAAGAGGAGCGTCGGCAGTTTGTGAGGGTCAGAGAGGTGGGGAAGGCCGAGGCCCATGCACCGGATCCCCCAGAGAAGCCCCGCGCATACCTGGGGTAATAGGTCGTGTAGTTCATGTAGAGCTGAGTGGCTGGTGGGGGGTAGTAGGTGACGGGGGTAGGGGCTGAGGGAGCCCTAGCTGCAGGGAGGAGGGCCGAAGGGGGATATAGGGCGGCCGTGGCCTCGGTGGGGATCACAGCCGTGGCTGTCTGGAAGGCAGCATACGTGGGCGGGGAGAGACCTGGGGAGAAAAAACGTGTGCCAAAACGTAGAGTCAACTCCCCTCGTATAGAAGATGAATGAGGTGCTCAGACAGAAGTCCCAAAGAACCGTGTCAGAAGTGGTTTCACACCTAGATCCCAACTTCTCCTGGGGTAGACACGGTACCATGGGGCTGATCAAAGCCAGCCCCCTCCACACACACCCCCCCCTTTTCTCCTAGTCAGAGGTCAGCCCCAGAGTAAGGAGGGAAAAAGAAAGGTCTTCCCTGTTCCAAGGCAAGACAAAAGTTCTACCCACTGCAAATAACTGCCCTCCCTAATTCCCCAAGCTTTCACACGAGGGCCCTGACCTCCACTTGAAAGGAAACCCACCCTAAAGCCCCAGCAGCCCAGGACAGTGGTGGTGGAGAGAAACGAAGGCATTCACTCACAAGGCAACTTGCAGGGTGGGGGGGACATGCCACTTCGGCTCAGAGTACCCCCCATCAGCACAAGGCTCATCTCCTCCCCAGAGCAGGGGAAGACTTCCACATAACGTTCTTTCATCATCTTTTTGTGGCACCGCTGGGCAGCCACCAGTGCTCGGTCTGCAGATTTCATCTGGATAAAGGCATCTCCAGAGGGCCGGCCCTGCCCACGCCATCACTTGGTTATGCCCCAGCAAGCCGCTCCACGTGGCCACCCCCCCTCAGGGCTGCTCCCCCCTCTCAGCAGCTCAGCCTCTCCCTCCTCCCTCTGGGCACCCCCTCCCATCCCCCTCCCCCACCAGGTCCACCCTGGTCACCTGCTGATTCAGCACCATGTGCACCCCATGGGGCCGGATGTCTCCGGCTGCCTCGCCCAGGAAGCCCAGAATATCATCAATGCTGGCAGTGTAGGGCAGGCCCCGCAGACGGACACAGTCCCGCACGCCCGCCCCCGCCAAAGGGAACGGGGCAGGCAGCACGGGGATCAGCGGGGCCGGAAGTGTCGGGATCAGTGGGCTCGACATGTAGCGGTTCAGAACCTGATGGAAACCAGAAGGGAGGTGCAGAGGGTGCGTCAGACACCAGGCGGACACACCCACCTCCACCAGGATCGCCACCAACCAGAATCGCCACCAAGACCGGGGCGGCCATCGGGCAATACCTGCTGAACCTCAGCCGCTGTGCTGCGGAACAGCTCGATGTAGCGTTTGCCGAGGATGCCCTTGTGTTTGCGAAGCGCGCTCTGGGCCAGCTCCTCACAGGCAAAGAGGGCGAAGGCGTCCCCTGTGGGGCGCCCGTCCGGGTAGCGGACAAAGAGCAGGCCCTCGGGACCGCCAGTCACCGGACACTCGGGGCCCAGGAAGGCCAGCACGTCCGCCGGCGTGGCTGTGAATGGCAGCCCCCGCATGCGAATGATCACCTGGTCCTCCTGAGACAAGAACTGGGCGACCTCATGGGACGTGCCTAGGGGGTGAACAGATGGGGAAGGGGGAAAGAGGCAGATGAGTGTGGAGGATCAAAGGTTTAGGACTCAAGGGGACCTGGAAAACAGGCCCAGAGAAGGGAAATGACTTTCCCAAAGACACACAGCGAGGAAGCCGGAGAGCCTGGTGTGTGCAAAACCCCAGGAGACTGCCAAGGAAGTGACAGGGTCCCCCTGTCGAGTCGTAAGGCACCTGGGGGGCTCAGTAGACACAGCACCGGGCCTGAAGGCAGAAGGACCTGAGCTCAAATCGGGCTTCGGACACTGACTAGCTGAGTGACCCTCGGGCAGTCACTGCTTCAGTTTCCTCAACTGTCAAATGAGACAATAATGGCCTCCCAGGGCTGTTGAGAGGCTCGAGTGAAGTAATGTTTATAAAGTGCTTAGCAGAGTGCCTGGCACATAACAGACTCTGGTCACCAGAGCCCCTGCCAGGTTCAGACCATCTCCGAGCTCCGAGGTCCAAAAAGAAGCGACTTGTCTAAGGCTACACGGCCGATCGGTGGCCTTGGGAGAACTGGGATCTGGCTCCCCTGTTTTCTCCCTCCCCCTTCTGTCCCTTCCTTCCGCTGACCTTCCCCTGCCCCCTTCCCCGGCGGCGGTCACTCACCCCCTGCGATCTTGAGGAACTCTTCCCCTGAGGCTTTGTACACCTGCCGAGTGGAAGGCACACACACTACCGTGAGCCTGGCCCGAGCAGCCCCCGTGCACCCCTGAGCCCAGAAGACACACGCACACCCCCCCACACACCCTCTCCACCCACACACACACACACCCCCACACA